CCTCCCCTTTTCTCCCCCCCCCCCCCCCCCCCTGCCACTCTCAGAAAGCAACTGAAGAACTTCCAGGAACTGAAGGACGCCATCGGCGGAGGCGACCAGGTGGCCGTGTCATCCAACTTCGGCGATTGCGGGGTGGGGCCCTCTGCCCGCGTGAGCGGCGGGGCCTCCGTCTCCAATCCTTTCCTCTTCAGACCGATCGGTAGGGACGAGAAGGATCTGTTCTGTATCGTTTCGCGCAAATAGTGAATTGGCGATGGCTTCGCCAAAGGTGAGTGCAGAGAGAGGAATTGCGCGTTTCGGTCGGACGAGACGTTCTAAGGAAATGTTGATGTTTCGATGTTTAAGGCAGGGGTGTGCAACCTTTATCGGCAGTGGGCCGCATGGAAACGTCCGTCTACTAACGTGGGCCATGGAGTGTGAAAGAAAAGGCTCCCCTCTTTTCCCCTCGGGGCATATCAGGGCATCCTGTCGTGCTGATTAGCTGATGACCCTTACCTCTTCCACGCCCCTAGGAAATGCCTATGGCGTTGAGAACCTTCTTCCTCGGGACATTAGTAGCACCGCTCGCGTGAGGAGTAATTAGGGGAAGGAAATGAAAGGACTCACGGTCTATATCTAGTTATATAAGGGATAACCAAAGTTGTGATGGGCCTTTGGCCACATAAAAACTTATTTTATCTGTTATCCCATTATGCATTGCAAGAAGCTGGTCCATGGGCCACATGCGACCCAAGGGCCGCGGGTTGCACATCCCGGGTTTAAGGCCTTGTCACCGTTAAAGATATTTAAAATCCGAAAAAAAAAGCATTTTGCTGCTAAGTCTTTTATTTTTACCATTACTTCAAACTGGAAAAAATATCCTCGAAAGCATCACACATAAAATGCACATTGAAAGGTGCCATTTTTTGGGCTACCTTGTATATTTTATTACTCGTGTTGCTACTCTCATTTGATTCGTTTAATTTTATTTACACTTGAATATATATACTAGTATATATATCTGTGCGATTTGCGGACGACGGCAGCGGTGATGTCGTTCCAGGGACGAGTCCATCGATCCGCCTTCGTGTGGGGAAAAAGAAAACGTGCGATCGTGCGAGCCCAGGCCCCGAAATCGCATCGAAATTCACCATTCGCGCGAGATCTTTACAGAATTTTCCCAGAGTCGAGCGAAACGGATCTGAACGCTCCGTTTTCCGTCAGGCGGAGAAGACGAGGCGTTCCTCAGCGCCGGGGGCCTGACGCGGAACGTGAACCCGACGGGAGGCCGCTACGTCTACCAGAGCATGCCGGTCGTGGTCTACCCGGACGACTCCGCGCTCTTCCTCCCGGCGCTCTACGACACGACGACGTTCGAGAATCTCCTCGGCGACGAGTTCTATTACGAATGCGACGTCGACGACGGGAGGGGAGGCGCGGCCAAGGTCTACGTCTGAAGGCGGGTGCGATTTCGCGGACGTTTTCGCGGGCGTTTCTCGCCTTCGTTTTTCTTCCAAGAGAGTCTTTTCGCGGAGAGCCTCTGTGATGCTCGAATGGAATAAAGATTGATGTCAGCAACGAACGTCGAGAATTCCGCCGAGTTTGCATCTTACATTTTCGGCTAACCGTTGCATTACGCGTGTAAATCATGATCGGTGTGAATCTCCTCGGTTGACGGCTGATGCACGAAACGACGAAGAAGCGGCATGTTCGACGCCTTCGCTCGCAATTCGATCGATCCATGAAAAGTCTCGATATCGCACGACCCGTCACACCAGGTTCGACACGGAACGAGACGATCCACACCTGCGAAGAAATTGCGTCATCCGCCTAATCGCGAGAGATTCTCCTTTTTTTTCGCGCGGGAACTTCCCCACATTTCGCCCTCCACCAGATGAGCGACCCCACAAGCTCCACGTCTGTCCCTCCTGCAAGTCCCACGTACCACAAAGTTCATGCATGACGGACCAATATCGCATTTTATGACGAGTGCGTCGTATTCCAAATTAAAAAAAAAAGAAGAATCCTCTGAAATGACGAAGAGGCATTAGGAACTTCCGAAGGAAATCCTGTTCGATTGAGTTGGATTCCCGGCCGTCCCCTGCCTTTTTTTCGTCCTCTCATGCCATCCAACTTTCCCCTCCCGGCCACCTGCATTACAGTACCCCAGTAATCCCATTGCCGGATCACTACAGTAGGTAGTAAGTAATGTTCTTTTGATCCAGTTTTCATCGAAAATATGTTACATTATGTTACATAAGCATTATTCCAAGAAGTTTTTTAACTCCAAAATAATTTAGAATTTATTTAAAGCGTTATTAAAAAGGGAAAGGGGTCCGAGCCCATTTTGCGATATCCAAGATCGGTAACTTGTAGGAAACCATAAGGCTAACGTTTCCCAATTTGTCATGCATTAAATATTGAAATATTGAATTTCCCCGAGCAACGCCGGGTACTTCCGCAGGTATTTTATTTTTAAAAGGGGCATGCGGCGGACACACGGTACGACGAACGTTTTTCAATCATGGTGCCCAGAAAAGAAGGTGGTGAGTGCTTGGCATGGGCACCGCAGCCAATATGGCTGTCCTTCAGGCAGAGACACCCAGAGGCCCACGATAGTAACGAGTGATTTTGAAGTCTGACGGCTACCGCATCCCCAAGACGTGATGCACCGAGTGAAGTGTGTCACCCAGCGCTAAACAGATTCTCCAGAAAGCAGGTGATGACTTCTTGTCAGAAAAAGAAGAGACCGCCCCCCAGACTCGATCCCCTTCCTCAGGGCCGTTTCTAGGGGCGGGCGAGGCGGGCGATCGCCCGGGGCGCCAGCGGAGGGGGGGGGGGGGGGGCTTCCGGGGGGGGGGGGGCGCCGTGGAAAGAAACACCATAATAAAACAGGCATTTTTTATGTGATTGGCGTCCACTTTGTGCAAACTAGCATTAATCAGGATGATATAAAAATTAAAATTATTAATGATATTTTATTTTATGCCGTGCAGCCTCCTACCAGCGTACTGGTGAGTCTGATAACACTTTCATAATAGGGCAGAAGCCCTTCCGCCCCCTCCCAACCTTCCCCTAGTATATGCGGCATGATGCCACGTTGCGACTAGGCATTGGGTATCAAGTAAGACTGTCACGATAAGTCGATTCATCGATTCCACTACTGATGTTTGGAAGAATCGATAGTTTCTTCGATCATCGCGATATTTGCGCAAAATGATGGGAAATGCCCCATTGGATTGGGACGAGTACAATACAGTCCGGACGGGGAAAGGAAGAGGCCGCGTGATCCGCATGGGCTTTCAATCTCTTATCACGATCAATTTCTGGAAATGCTGGGACTGACTATATGAAAGAAGAAGGGGAAAAAAAAGTTCGAATGGGAGACAGGAAGTGGGAAAGGAGAGGGAAGAAAGACTTAGAATATTTTTTCTCTTCTGTTTCAGTCTTCGGCTCGATCTCGTGAGGTGCATGCTATGAAAGTGGACTGTTCTTGTAATCCCTTCATAAAACGTACAACGGTTAATCCCCCTCTATAATCCTGTCTTTCGCTTTAGTATGGAGGTTTAAGTTTTTGAATTTTTAACTTGCCCTGGGGAATTTTATCACTTAAGGTGAACCCAAAGTGAATTATTTACTCGGACGTCGCTTGCATCTACGGCTGTAGGGATGCTTCGGCAACCGCAGGTGTGGCACCATCGACAATTTTCCTAAGAAACACAATAATAAAAACGAGTATTTTTTATATGGGTAGCGTGGAGGTAAATGCCTTGACTTGCCTTTGATTACAGTGGATAATACTTTATTGGGCCATCAGTTAATAGGGCAGCCGGTTTATCAGGACATTTTGTCAGGAACGCAACCATTTCTATGCAAGTGCATATAAATTTTGCCGTATTTTCGGTACGAAAATCCGCTTTATTGGGGCAAGGTCGGGGTGAATTTAAGCCGTCGATCCCATTTTTTTTTGTCCGCCCACTCCCTCGCTCCTCTTCGCCGTGTCTTTTGTGGTTAAGAGCTGGCCGACTGTTAAGGCAGAGACCATCGCAAACAGCTTCCGTGGATATGGCTTTCATTCTGGACCAGAGGTGCCAGCGTCAACCTATGAGGAGTGTCTGACTATTCTTGATGTCACTAACGGAGAAGCCTTCGTCAACATCGACGAAAACGCATCATGCTTCGCCGAACACGAGGATTCTGAGGACGACACAGTCTCGGACATCGTTGCCATGAGGCCTCGCCTCATGGCAAGGGGGGAGGGGAGGGGGATGTCGTAGACGAGGAACCTGGGACTTTACCTAAGGGGACTCACGTACGAAGCCAGGCGCTCGGTGAACAGCCTTCACCGCTACTTTATAGAGCAGGGTTTGGATAATAAAGGACATGGTGACATTGACATTGGTGCATCAGAAATGCTTTTTCAGGTATGAAACGAGCAACTATGGGCAAATGAATCGTAATTTTTCGTTTTGCACAAGTAAAGGACATTCGTGTCCGAGTTAACTATACTAAAAGGTAAGTTCGCTTTATTAAGGCAGCCGCTTAATTGGGCCGAATAGAACTGGAACCAACGTGTCCCAATAAAGCGGAATCCACTATATTTACAAATGTAACAAAATGATTTCCATCATTTCCGGGGGAAAGGCCCTAATCGCCAGAGCTGCGGTGGTGCTTCGCGTCGCAATTGTTGGTTTTTGTGGGTGGGGGGAGCCATCGGAACTCCTTGCCCTGAGCGCCAATATGCCTAGAAACGGCCCTGCCCACAAATGTTGGATTTTGGTCTTTGAGTCCGAATTAAATACACTCTGGGGACTTCCAGGAAGGCTTCGGCTTTCCCCGGGCGGTGGGCATCACCGTGGATGGAAATGGGAAATATAGTTGACAAAGTATTTCATTTTCAGAAATCGCCCTTGGTATAGCGCCGTGGCAACGGTACGAAGAGGCGGTGTCCTACGATTTCCATATTGTAGTGACGGTATGAACATGGATTGTATTTCACGGTATTCATACCTTAGCGATAATACCGAAAAATAGAGAAGGGGTTGATATGATTATCATGAGAACCGAATACCGCGGTATGATAAAAAAAAAACTTACCAGTATACCTCAACACCCCCATTTGATTCCAATAATATTTCAAAATGGCTGCACCAAATCGTTGCAGCCTTTCACTTAGCCAAACTCTCCTTCCTCTATAATAAACCTAAGTTTATCTGTTAACTTTCACCAATCTTTTCAATAAATTTGCAATGAAGGCGAAAAACAATCATTTAAAAGTTACCTCTCAAAAGTTGTGTGATAGCGTGTTGAGTCTATAGCTGGAATCTCGCGCTCCTGCGACTCACTCTTATCGGTGCCTGAAACTATGTTCTCGACATTTTAAATCAATCTAACGTTAGCACATCAGGCTCCTTTTCATCTCATCTTTGCTCATATCCGATGTAAACATACGAGCGATACAATGACTTCTGATCCATTCTCATTTCAGGTTTTCTATAACCAAAATGGCATCTCGAGGATTGACGCTCCTTTCGTATTGTATGAAGCAACGACTTCAGGTAGAAGGAAACTCCTATTACCGGTATTTCAGGCCTAAAATGAGCTCTGTTCCATTTTCGCTATTTTGCACCCTAGTTCATCAAGAGAAAATCATACAGGCCTATCTACACCATGCTCCTCCATTTTCAAGGCATGCTTGGTCATTTTGGAACACCGTAGGCTTGTAGTTCTTTCTATTTTACCGTATTTTTCCCATCAGTTAGATACTTTTTCATTTGACTTCGACACCCATGCAGAAGGAATGTCCCATGCATGTGTGTTCAAGTCGAGTGAAAAATTGTCTAACTCAAGTGAAAAACACTAAATAGCATACAAGGTCTGACAATAAAATAACGAGACTGACAACACTGTAATGCATGTGGCAACACTGGGTTACTGGCGATTGCTGTAACCAGTCAGTGCATGTCTTAAGTCTCTGCAGTAACAAACTTGTCATGATACTTCTAGTGATTGCAGAGCAGTACCACTTTACCTAAAGTAGTGTTAGGGGCACTTGTCAAAAAAATGGGTGATAATATTATGAACAAAGAATCAATTTTGGAACAAGTGTATGGAGATGAGGTTATGTCCAGAGCAAAATGTATTTAAATGTTGTAAATGCTTTTTTGAAGGAAGGGAAGAAGTTGAGTTAGACAGATGACCTGGATGTCCGACAACTTCAAAATCGGATGAAAACATAGAAAATGTGAGAACTCTGGTGCGAAGTGATCGTCGTCTTATTGTCAGAATGATTGCCAAAGAACTGTGTATCAATAGAGAGACAGTATGATTGATTTTAACGGAAAGTTCAACATTTCAAAGACTTCAGTTGGTTTTTTCCCAAGTTTGATTAAAAATTTCACATTGATTCTTTGTTCATAATATTATCACCCATTTTTTTTACGAGTGCCCCTAACACTACTTTAGGTAAAGTGGTGCTGCTCTGCAATCATAAGAAGTATCACGACAGACTTAAGACATGCACTGACAGGTTACAGCAATCGCCAGTAACCCAGTGTTGCCACACGCATTACAGTGTTGTCAGTCTCGTTATTTTATTGTCAGACCTCGTATATAAGGAGAAACAAGCTGTTTAATTGTCAGAAAGTTTCATCCCCAATGCCTACCCTAGCCATGAAGTCATGCCCTTTTATGCCTATCCTATCTATTGATGGCCAGTAAGAGCTGGTATGCTAGCAAATGGCCTGGGCCTCTTGTGAATTGGATCACCACACCCTTCACTTTTTTTTATCTGTGGGGTTAGATGGTTTCCTTGACTGAGTTTCATGCATTTAAGAAGTTCAGTTCTATTTTGATATTGGAAAGGACCCTAAAGGACCTATCATTGATAACTTTTATAATTCATTTCTTACAGTCTATGAACACTGGTACTTAATTGTCAATCCTTACTCTTTCCCTTGACAGTCTTTTCCATCATTTTCCCTGTCAAAGTCCATGTTGATGCAGCCCAGACTAGCAACCTTCACTACAGGTTAGACTTCATATTTATGCATATTTCAAGTTGTTTATTTTGGTTTCTTCTGATCTGTCGCTTTCACGCATGGATTCAAAGTGTTTGCTTTTTTCAAGGAGAAGAGCTTTATTCAATTGGATTTGTAAGTATAACCTTGGTTGTATTAACCTGTTCTAGAGAAACTGGAAAAAACTTTTCTTCATGGCTTTGTAGGTATTCAGGTGAAAGCCCCACAGGTACAGAAGCCAGCACCTCCATTCAAAGGCACAGCAGTCATTGATGGGGAATTCAAGCAGATTTCTCTGGAAGAATTCCGTGGCAAATATCTTGTCCTCTTCTTCTACCCCCTTGACTTGTGTGTACTCCTATCAACTGATGAAAAATGCATAAGCCTAGGTCTACAACTAATGGTAGAGTTCCTTCATGCTCATAAATTCCCATTGATCAGTGTCCACACTCATATCCCTCCAAACACCACCAGTTCGTGATTAGGATTACAAGCTATACAAACTTTATTTAGGTTCATTGGTAGACAATGCTCCCATGCCTGGTGATAACATGCCTTTGATCTGAGATTCCCCACTCCCCTGAGTCCTTTGGTAGCATAAGTTTTTCATAATTTTTTATTTACAGTACAGATAGAATGACTGAAAACTTACTTCTCAGCATTATAATGCAATGACCAAATTTCTTAAGGAAGTAGCATGTATCACTCAACATTGAGCCCAACAGATATTAAGCTGATCATTTATCCTTTACATATGGGTGGGTTTTTTTTTTTTTTACCTGATTTTCATTTCATTTTCAGAACTTAAATATATTTACATTTAATAACTACCCATTAATCCCCCTGTCAACTAATAAGTGAGTGAATCTGTTGAAGCATGAAAAAAAGGCCATAGGTGAAGCACAATACAATTAGGTGATAGAGAAATTGAGTCAGGGAACTGTTAATGTCTTGATCAATTCACATTATTTCTTCTTTTTTTTTTCTAAATATTTGTTTCCATTTAAGGGACAATTTTCTTGGTTAGGTTTAGTTTTTGGAAGGAGCTCAGGCATTGGTACCCCATGTGGTTTTTTTTAACACTTCATGATCTTGAGTCTGCTTTTGCATTGATTCATAAAATTAGTTATATATATAGAAAACATAGTTCTTTGTGGAAAAAACACTCTTGCTGTAAGACAGAGAATTGATATGATGAGGTTGGAGAAAGATGATGACAGGATGAAGGGGGACTGTGCAAGTTGCTACAAATGGGAGCTGATCAGATAAAGCAAAGGAGATGGAATGACAGGTTAAGTTTATCAGGTGGATCAGGTTGGTTCAAGTTCAGGTGACCAGGTCACTATATTTCTTAGGAAGAACAAGCAGGGTAAAGGTATCAGTTTGTGTATGGGCGCCTATTTGTGGACAATTTTGCATTTTCTCCCACCCAAAAAATATATGCAGGAAATTAAAAATCTCAACTGTTCCATGTTATGCACATGCCAGTCAGTCACCATATAAATTATGCATGCCTATTAGCATGATTCAACTTAGACATTTTCACTTTGTTTTAGATGTAGCACTCCTGAATTCCTTATATGTCTAGTTACTTTCTTATCGGATGAAAACCCTTTCCATAGTTGATTGTTGCACTAGAATTGATGAGGGCCTCAAGTATGATGCTCAGAAATGTTGCTCGAAGTTCCTAATTCATATTTCTATCCATGTTTGGATGAAAAAGTATTCTAAAATGATGAAAGAGGGGTGTCCATGAACTGGATCCTCAATTCAAGGTTTTGCCTATTTGTAGACAGTGGTGCCCACAAACAGGAATCCTTCCTCCAGCTTGTGGAAAACTTTCTTTAGGGTGGTGGCAGGCATTTTCTAAGTACATATAAGTTTTTATTACATATTTCCTAGTCCCTTGTTTATCAGATGTTTTTCTTTACTAGATGTATCTATCAATCCATCTCATGGAGGGGAAGTAATACAGAGAACTTGCATGCACTGCAAACATATCAGCCAGTACCTGATATGGTGTCCACAAGTAAAAAAACCTCTAGACTGAAGATGACTGCTTCTTAAAGTGTTCACAATCTAGTTCCATAAGTCAAGCATTTTCATGTTTGTGGCAAAGTAGGCCCAGGGTTTAAGAAATCGTTTTTAGATCAATTAATTTATTTTCCATGTCTCACTTTGATAATGCTGAAATTAAAATGCACAGATGGTGATTTCCAAAACACACTTAATGGTATGCACAATGGTTGTCTGTCGATTGGACATGCTGTCAAAAGATTTGGGGTCCCTAAAAGTACCCTATATACCAAAAACAATGATGTTAGGCCCCTCAGAAAGTCAATATAGAGTCATTTGCCTGTGCTGTCCCTAGAGAAAGAGTCAAGTTTGGCCAATTTGGTAAATTCACATTACATGTATGAAAAGACATGTTAAGAACTTGCTTTGTTGGCAAAGAAGTTTATTGTTATTGGAAGAGCAAATAGGCAATCTACTAATAACTTACCAGATGAGCAATGACTTAAATTATTCATGAAGCAAAGGCCTGATATTTCAATGAGGAGGCCTGAGATTATTGGAAAGGACAGGGTTTTGGCAACAAAAGAGGAACATTAAGTCTGGATTAATGAATTTTTATTTTTGAGCGATCAGATCAAGGTCTTGTAGCCTTCATTAGAGAATGCACATTAGGTTTTCAATGGTATTGAGTTTAGCTTAACTAATGGTACAGATTTTGCTGTGCTTGCCAATAAATGGGGGAAGAATGAGTGATTTTTCTTTCATTTCCATCTCAGTGATGATGAATAAAACTGCTGCACCCATTCCATGTTTATATCTTCTCATATTCATTCACTTCACGATCATCAAAAAATTGGTGTCGTCCACAAACTGGAACCAGGTCATCCATAAATAGGAACAATGTGAAAAGCCATATATAGTCATAACACCTCTTGTTGGAAAAGTATGCAAATACTCAATTTTAGATTATGGATACATAACTATGATACGTGACCTCATATTGAAACCAAACACACAGTTCTCTGGTGACTCCAAAGACCATAGTACAATATTCAAGATGAAAATTTCCTTAACCTGTCCATGATGCCTTTACCCTACCTCTTCAACACCTGACTTGTAGTGAAATATCCTTTCCATGATTTTCTGCATGCAATACTTTGTGATCATTCCTAATTACTTACTTCTGTATTTCTTGCATTGCTGTCATTTCTACATTTCATTTCCATCATATAAAGAAACTGAATATAATTGTGCTGCATTGGTCACAGTATAAAAACGTTTTAACACATTGGCTGCTGAATAGATTCTCAGCATGGGCAAAAGGTATCACTGGTGATAAATGGGGCAGCCTAAGTGGTAAATATGGAGAGTTGTTTTCGTAGGCATCTCATTTACTTGATAAAGAAATAAGGTCTGAGCACATGACAACACTGTCTTTCCTCAAATGTCTTTTCCACCCCTTCCCTAAAAGTACTCAACCTTCCTGGTGGATTTATGAGCATTTAATTATATTTTGCCCTTTTTGACTAGTTATCCTGGAGCCACTACTACATTTTTTGGAAGAGACTGAAATATACACATAGAGTTCTTGCATGTACCCTATGTAAAGAAATGCATGTATGGATACATCTGCAAAAATTTCCTGTAAAAGTTACTAAGGCATTATAATCATACATGAGCACTGTCCTGTATGAATGTTGCAGCATGAAGTTCTGTTAGAGCATATCTAATTGTGAGCATTCAACATAAATGTAACACACACAGGCCAACAATTGAAGTTACTTCATGATGCTACGAAGCTTCCTCAATCCTCTGCAAGTTCCTTGGCATAATAATTATATCTGCTTGCTTGAACATCTGTAGAATTTTCATGTCTGTCAGATTTGAAAGAAATGAACACAAGTGTAATGTCAGCCTTGAGATTTGTCACTGACTAAAGAACTGTTCTGCTTTGTTTTGCAGCACATTTGTGTGTCCAACTGAGATCATAGCCTTCAGTGATCGGATGGATGAGTTCAAAAAGATCCAGACAGAAGTTATTGGTGTGTCTACAGACTCTCACTTTAGTCATCTGGCATGGATCAATACTTCTCGAAAGGTAAACTGTTAATTTGTTTTCCCAACTGCAAGATACCCAAAATACCTTCATTCGCTCTCAATCAGTGTAGTTTCAGGTATCACCCTGAAAGAAAGAAATTGGGAGGGATCAGACTCAATTACTTGAAGTGTTTGACAAATTGGCAGGTCATTTTCTTTTGGTCTGTTCATTTTTTGAAATTATATAAGGAAGCCCAAAGACCAGGTTAGCAAGACAGCAGCAAGACCTCTCATGAACGAACCATTCATGAGAGGTCTTGCTGCATCACATATCTATTTTTAATTGGGTTTGTTATGCTGCTAACTGAGCCTGTAAAATTCTACAGACATTCACCATTATGTCCCTGAATCCAGGGTAACACATTTGTTTACATTGTCCACTTCTGCAAGGCTAAATTACTGGTATGTGTTGGATCTTGGCCATGAACGCTGATAATGACATACATTTTCAGCAAGGTGGCTTAGGAGGTCTCAAGTATCCCTTGCTGTCTGACTTCAGCAAGACAATAGCCCGGGACTATGGTGTGTTACTGGAAGGTGCAGGAGTGGCACTCAGAGGTCTTTTTATCATCAATCCTGAAGGAATACTTCGTCAGATCACTGTGAATGACCTTCCAGTGGGACGATCAATTGATGAAGTTCTTCGACTTGTTAAGGCCTTCCAATTTACTGACCAACATGGTGAAGGTATGTTATTTGTAGATGTTCATACATATCACTTGTAATCTTCAAACTAGTGTTCTTTGGCAGCAGCATGCAGTGATGGATCTTCTACTATAGTCTTTACACATTTCATGTGATATTGAACCAATTACAACTTTCTTTTGATTTTTCTTTCTGTGACCCAGCATTTAAGCTATTCATTCTGTGTGAGAACCTTACCTTTCAAAATCCATCGGCAATCCATTGAGTTACAGGATAACCAGGCTGATTTATTGAAGACACTTCCAGTTACCATAAATTTTCTGTGAATGAAATAAATTGTGCAAGGAACGCAGCATAACCCGGAAACAATTTTTAAAATACCTTTTGCTAAGTCACTGCACTCTCAAAAATCTTCATCAGGCAGGCAGTCTTATGCTATATTATGCTTCAAAATAAAAAAACCTGCTATTAAGATCATGAAATTATATACTCACAACACTTGGTGGGAAATTTTCCAATACTTGATATCAAGGAGGGTGTATTAACAGTAAATTAAAATCCTCTATCTCATTGTTCACTTGTGGATAATACTCTGTAGTGACTGTGAAATTAGAGTGATACAGAAACACAATTCTGTTTCAGTCTGTCCTGCCAACTGGACTCCAGATTCACCAACAATCAAGCCAAGTCCTGAGAAATCCAAGGAGTATTTCTCCAAAGTGAATTGAAATTGATCGTGGAAGGTGTAGGAAGAAAGTGTTTTTTGCAGTTTTGCTCTATCCTGCATCTGAGAGTGTTCAATGTTGGCTGTTCTACCAAGCATGTTTCTTTGGTAATTAAGGTGAATAGATAAATGAAAAGCCTTGTGATGTGACTGCAGAGTTATTTGGAAGATACCTTGAAGCAATAGAAACCCAAGGAATATATATCCACCGTGAAATAAATGATGCTTGGTGGTTTCTTTCATAAAGGTCTCTCTGGTCAGTACACTGTTGTCAAAGTGAAATCATGTGAATGGCTTAGTGCATAACCTGGGTTTGTGCAATAAAGGAAGCCAACAGCTTTTGGGAAATTTTATTTAAAAAGGGAGCTCTGAATACACGCAAGTAACCCTACAAAGAGCATGTTATCAATACATCCAGGATCACTTTCTTTAAACAACTTCACACAAATTTCATCACAGTTTTCAAAACAAGATTATTGAAGGATTCTCCTAGTTACACAAAAGTGCCATCAAGTAGTGGAAAATGAGAAGAGAAGGCACAAGTGATACAAGATAGTTCTCAGGAAAAAAAATTAAATGCTGACCTGAAAACCTGAGGCCCTCACACATCTGGTTGATCCTATATGTGCAGTTATTCCTATCAATGAAATTTCTGGAAAGTTTTATTCTGCTGGAACTTTGAAAATGTCCCCTTTGAGTTTATGCCCTTTTTCCAGTGAGTCAACAGTTGCGTGTATGTCTACGGTCCATTCTCTTCAACCTTGAGATCAACAATGAGCTTGGAGCCCTTGCATGAATATACACCCAAGAACTGTCCACCCACTGGAAGAAGTGCATTAACTCAGAGGAAGGACTTGGCCTTGGGGACCCTGGCCACCAAGGAGCAAAAGGTATGGGCATTCTAGAAAAAGAAAGAAAACTTAATGAAAGCTCATAAAAAGGAACAAAAAAGCTAAAGTGACTATGACAATATCATAAATGAGTCTTGCTCATCAGAATATACAGTGATGTGAAAATGCATATGCATAAAAGGTAAAACAACCACAAAACTGAAGAACAATATCCAAGCTTCTTGTTAGACTGAGAATCCTGTAGCATTCATGAGAATGCAGCATTCTCTCATGCCTAATTATCATCAAACAATTCAATGAGATCAAAAAAGCATGCCCTCTCTTGAATATGATGCAGCAGATATCATTCAATTGACCTTCATGAAAGACTTTAGATCAAGACACTAGAGACATCTTGGAATGGTGACTAAGTAGACATCTTACAAAACACAGCACAATTCTACAGTATGTATCAAGAATTACCCTTTGAAGATAATGGAGCAGAGCAATGAATTCTGGCAGGCAACATCCAGCCCTGATATGCTATACATTTGACACCTTGCTGAAATTTAATTTAATCCTTTCAATGCTATGAATAGGTTAACTTAGCAGCAGTTTCTCACTCATTGCAGCAGATACACCAGAGACTTTCCAGTGCATCAAGAACTAATTCAAGGAAAAGTCCAATTTGTTGCTTACCAAATAAGGTAAGAGAACTTACCTAGAAGCAAGTAACCAGGGCATATCATAAAAAATCTTAGAAGGTTGCAAAGAGAAAAAACAGCAGTTGAGGGGTTAAAGAATTTGTGACTATATGGAAAATAATCATTGGGAAAATTCCTAGCCTACAATGGATATCAATGACAGTGGTGAGATGCAGAAACATCCCATGGGATTTGATGCTTCAACAACAATGGAGAGGAATTTTAAAGATGCTATAGTGGTGAAAGAAAACCTATTGACTAAGGAAGCAGAATAGAGTAGCTGAAACCAGTTCCTCTCATTCCTGAGACATAAAATTATATGGGGATGACAAAAATGACAACAGAGTGTTTTCCTTAGTCTTAAAAGTTTCATTATAGTATCTCCAGCAAAGCATGAACTACACCTCAAATGGGATCAGCAATCAAGAGGTTCACAAGCACAAACATGATCAAACTCAAAATTATTGTCAATTTCAATTATTTTTACATACTCCATTTTGAGACTTAACCCTCACTTTGCTCAAGTTTTTCAGAGCATTGGAACATATTGTGGAAATAGGAACCAAAGGCACTGTTGATAATATTTTCCCTACCCAATGGCCTTTTCCACAATTCTTGGCTGCTGGATAAATGTCATCTACCATGTAGCAACAAATTTTCACCCCCATTGTACTATTGCAAGGGACAAGAATCACAAAATTACATAGAGGGAAAATGTAGCAGATACATTAAACTTCCTGTGTTAAAATTTGATATGCATTAATGTGGATGCATTATGGGAGAGTAACAGAAACATTTGTTTTGTGGCATTGATATGGGTCATGGTCACCTGTCAATCATGACTCACATCATCAATTTGAATAATGTCAGGGATCTCAATTGAAATTAAATCATATACTTGTGAATTGGAGTTTAAACTGCTTCATGGAATCACTTTTGGCAAAAACTAATAAGTGATTTTATTTGTGATTAGCCCACTTCTTGCAAGGAGAACCTAAATTTTAATTTATCTTATTTTGTCATCTCTCACCTATTTCTATGGCCTCAGTTGAAAGGGATGCACATTTATGCATTCACAGACACTCAGAACTCATTCAACATTGCACATGGACACACACATCCATAATGTCTTTGCACATTCATCCTGAAAGAACAGCAAACCGGGAAGACAAGTCTGTTGAGACTGAAATTTTCTTCCAAAAATTGTCCCCCATTAGGACACTCTTTAACTTTTCCTCATATCCACAAGAGATGAAACTCTGGCCACATTATACCATATTCCAGCCAAATTATCTAGTGCTGTGTGTTAATAGATTCTTCATATGAGGATATATAGGAAAAAAGTCTCATGGTCAATCAATGTCAGCTGCATACTAATTTCTTCTGACTTCGTCAATATTTTAAATTGGAAATGTTGTCATGCTAGGGTTCCCTGACATATTCTGAGGATGACTAGCTCATGCATTCCAAATATTAGGTCTCTGTTGCAAGGAAACAAATTTCAGGCTACAGAAAGATCAGATACCATAACTAAATTTTTCATGGCACAGGGCTGGAAATAACTGAAAATCATTAGTGCACTGACCTTATAGTAGCTTTTCTCATGTACTTCCCACACTTCTTCATATCACTCCATCATAGCAAAAAGAAAGAGCCACTTTTATGAAGAGAAAGTATGGAGTAAATAGGCAAAAATATCTGCAATATAATTACTGAGATGCCAGAAGAGAGAAGCATGTCATAGTATCTATAGAGCTTGTAATGTTACTTTTTTTTTCTTATGTCATTTGTTTACCACCTCTTTATGACCAATGACCAGATAAAATATTTTATTTTCATTAAATTTCTCAATAGAATCTCATTCCTTAATAAGTTGGGAGGATCAATAGCTGAACTACATGTACAGGAGACTAATGTGGCTTCAAAAGCACAAGTAAGAGGCATTCTAAACCATAATATTGCACTAGGTTCTGGTTTGAGATTTGTCCTACAAGATGATGTCCTCAGGAAGAAATGGGAGCAAACATGTTAACTTCCCTAAGGTGGGAAGGCTTCGGAGTCATGCGTGGCTTTTGCTGCTTCTCAGGCATCTTCAGCTCATCATATGAGAGGGATTTCTTCAAGGTGGTTGGCTTGGGTAATTCTATGGACTGTATTTCTGATTCACCCTTGACTGCAAGCTTCTTTTCTCTGCTTTCTACAGTGGCTATAGCTGGCTTTAGCATTATGGCTGAAGCTGTGCTCTGCTCTGGATTCTTTTCACTTGCTCGAAATAGGTTTGCCAGATAGCTCAAGCTGCCTCTGAGGGTTAAAAATAACATCAAATGTCCATTCAGAATCACTGTAAGTCTCTCCTTGGGAAAAGTTGAATGAAAAATATCAAGAAGGATAAGAGATATAGGCTTAAAAAAATAAGTGATAACTCACAGAGCAAACCTTTGACCAGGAAGCAATAAAATAACAAATGCCCATGGCTCACTTGTGTTACAGACTGACAAACATATTGCATGATTATCCTTCTAAAAGAACTTGGAAGCAAATGTCTTACCCTTCAGGACTAGTAGACCTTCGTGAGAAGAAAGCATTGGGTGGAACTAGCTGCCGAACAACTAATGGCTTCACCTCCCCTTCTATGACACCAGCTGAAGTAGGGTGCTTTGATGACTTCTTCCAGGGTTCCACCATGGGAGCAAATCCTGCAGTCTTCTCAACCAAATGCAAGGACGTTTCAGGAACACTTAATTTTGGCAGTTTCATTTGAAGTTGTTCAACCACAGCAGTCAGATCACTTGGATGCTCATGATGCTGCCCTTCCTCTGCAATTGGAAATGTATTTGAAATGATAGACACTCTGTGACTTGCAAATGGGGCTGCACAACATATTGATATTGTAAAAAAAATTGCAATATGAAGCTGCGGCAATGTTAATATTATCCAGATGCACACAAATTGGTGTTATTGTCATGATATTGTTGCCTCCTTCAGGTGGGGATTATTTCTTCGCTTAGAGATGGAGACTTCATACCATTCAGGGAAATCTAGGAACAGAAATCTCCCTTTCTCTCCTGTCTTGATTGTGGGAAAGTTCACACAAAGGAAGACCAGTAATTACTGGCTTGGGTCATATGATACAATCGTCATGCTAAATGTATATGACACCTCCCTTGTTTCTCAGTCAACTTCATCAAATAAAGAGGAGGAAGAAGGGGAGGCAATCATTGCAACAGTTGTTCATCATCTTCATTTCAAAGTGAGTGAGTCAACAAGTCATCAATTCTTTCTACATTCAGTGAAAATCTAATATCAGATAACAAGATCTTATACAAAATTGATGCAAATTATCCTTCTTGTGATATACAAGGGCCTAGCCTGCTTGCATCAGTTACAAATACACTAACAATAAAAAAAATAATTGAAAATCTAATATCAAGATAATGCATTGTGATAATTGGTGCAATGTATCAACAGAAAAAATCTCCCACTCTTCCTTCCCCTCATTGCAGCTAGCTAGTACATCCTGTTGATGGTCATAGGAGAGAAAAGAAATAGGAAGCCACAATTTCCAAGAAAAAAAAGGTATTGTGATACCCCATTGTATCTCTCCAGCAGCAATAATACTAAATAAGGTCAGAAGAGAGGGAAGGATAGAAGGTGGGTCAGGGTTTCCAAGGCACCAACATCACTTTTGTGCTTTACCCATTTCCACACACTCACATCCCTCATCTCCTTCTCCCAGCCAATGATAAAATCAATGTATCACAATACTGCAGGATGACCATACAATATTGTCACACGACAAATATCATGCAGCCCTACTTGCAATACTTCTCCACCTATAATGCCACTTATGTTTTCAGAGAAGCACATAGCATTATTGCATGAGAAGCAATACCAAAATGGAGAACTAGCAACAGGGAAGTAGGATGACTCAAGTATCATCTCCATCTCAGTTCACTTCAGGGTGACCCAAATCATCAAGCTTTTTTTCCTATTCTGCAACCTGGATTCTATTGATCCATTCTGCATGTATTCAGTTTAGTTTAATACTCACAAAATGATAAATCAAGAGGGATGGGGAGTCAATTCATATCATGTGAATGAGGTTTTTCTGTTCACTCATTAATAGAGAGGCTCAAGGCAAAGGTTTGCATTTTAACTACTCAGTTCTGTTTACAGGATAATTTGAGCAGAAAAATAAACCTGAAGTCTTATCAGCCTCATTTGATGCATGAGACATTGACCTAAATGTTGTCCCTCGATAGAACTCAGTGTTGTCTATTGGATTGAAGCAATCTTTCAGACTAACCAGCCTTCCTCGAGAGAACAATAGCAATAGTTCAGATAGTGTTCCATTCATTTCTCTGCAACATGTCAGATATTCTTTCCTCTAGTGAAGGCATACTAATATGAAACTAAAAATGAAATCACAAATGAAAACTTAATGTTTCCCCTTCTTACAATTAAAAGTTTCAAGGTCAAAAAGGATGACTCTTTATAAAGAAAACTTGCCAAAGGTGAAGGATGGTTTCATTCATATTTCTTTACTTTTTTGTCATCACTCATTGCCATTTACTGTGGCACCATTGTTGAGCCATGAATCTATGATCAAAATGATATTGTGGAAGATAGAGATCTGTTAGGATTGCATGCTATTGGATGATGAGCCAGTGATAAGAATGGTAGGGATAGTGCCAGTGGTATTGGTGCTGTTTCTCTGCTAAACATATGTCCTTGGCACTATACTTGATTTCAAGATACACTGCCAGTTTCTGTTTCAAGTTTCATTAATCCTCAACTCCGAGGTTTTGCTGTTCTTGAGCAATGAGAATATGTCATGTGATAATGTTCCTATCAAAGTTGCAACTTTTTTTTGACAAAACTAGTATTAAGAGAATTATAACTCCATGTCAGAATAAGTCAAGGAGAACAAGGGAAGAGCCATATGCCTTGTTCAACTTTTATCTTGTTGATAAGGTACTGGTACATGTTATCAATAGATTCCCTAGCATATCTTTGGTTGGGGCTAATCCCTGTCACTGCTCTTGGGAATACCTGTTGCCACGTGTCAAAGGCTGTTACACTAAGTGACTGAAAAAATGAGTGTTACATGGGTATTCTTCTTCACATCCTTCTCAATTCCATTCCTGAATGGTCTCATGAATCCAGTAAGTGAAGACATTGATGTCATGGATCAAACTACTGGGTCTTCCCTCTTTGCTGAGTGCCCCATTCCAGCACTTGCATCTTTGGGGTTCTTTAGTTTCAAATATGACTGCTACAGAGTCCCTGAGAATGAGGTACCATGGCATGAAGCAGAGAAGATTTGTCAGATGCAATCTGACACTCATTTGGCATCAGTACATGAGGAAGAAGAGCTTGGTCATTTCTCTGAGATTGCAGTGCATTTTAATAAGTCCCTCTGGATAGGGGTACAAGATCATGATGACACCTCCCCCTTTAACATGAGTCTCCCAGAATGTGCATTTATCAATCATCAGACTAGAATGTGGGAAAGAGCTGAGTGCATTGAAAAGCATTCATTTGTCTGCAAGTACCAGAGTGAAGAGAACTATGATAAAAATAGTGCAGCTTCTGAGGAAGGGCCATGCCCTGGAGCACAATGGGTGCTTCATGGAGATTTTTGCTTCTTTGCCCAGCCAGAAGTGAAAAAGACAGGCTATGAAGCTCTTCATATGTGCAAGCGACTGGGGATGAATGCAAACCTTGCAAGTATTCATTCCCAAGAAGACAACAATTTCATATGGAATTTCATTAATGGTACACAAGAAGATATGTGGATTGGACTTTTGCGAGGGTTTCAAGTAGATTGGATGTGGAGTGATGAATCAGTTCTGGATTTCTATAACTGGGCTCTGAATGAACCAAATGATGATTCTGGAGGGGAGAACTGTGTTGAAATGTACTATGCCAATGGGAAATGGAATGATGCAAACTGTGACAGTCCTCGAGGATTTATATGCAAGACTCCGAAGAGCTTCACCAGAACCACAATGAAGCCAACAAGCCCAACAATGACCATCCACAATTCTAGCAGCACTCCTAATTTGGGCATCTCTACTGAGCTAACAACACAAGGAGACATGAATACAGTCAATGCAAGTACTATAGCACAAGTCACATCAACCTCCACCTTCACCAAACAGCCTGGAAGTGCCACAACGGCTGCTGCAAACTCAACACATGAAAGTAATCATACTATAATCCATATTCCACAAAAAAGGAGAGGCTTCTATGTAATTGGGATTGTGGCCTTCATTTTGCTTGTGACAGCAGTGGTTGGGTGTCTCACTTACTTTATAGTGGGTAATCAAAACAAAATTGCTTATATTCAAGAAAAGTTGGGTTGTAACCCCAGAGGTCCATCGAGAACACATCAATATCATCAACTTCAACTTTAGTTTTTTCACCATCTTCAGCATTCAAGATCAAACTGGAAATAGTTTTGAGGAAAAACACAAGGTTCTAGATATCTCCTTCAAGAGTAGAATAATATGGTCAACACAATAATGAGTTCCAATGCTTGGAGATGTATCTGTTCTATTTTTGCCTACTCTGCAAATCTACATCCCCTATGATGATTTGTTTAAGTGCAGACTGAACCTCTGCTACTACAGTGATCTGAACCTTCATTTGTTCCCAGATCTGTCATTCTTTCCTTGATACTTCTGTAACATCAAATAAAACTTACACAAATCAAACTCAACTTGAGTTGCATTCAATCCATAATAAAGACATGAAATATTATTTTTAAAGTAGTATTACATGTTTTCCAAAAACTGGTTAGTTTACACAGAGAAACATAAGAATTTGGTCATTTGGCCAAGTTTGGAAGCTGCAGAGCAAACCATTCCCAATTGGGATATCTTGAATCTACTGATTTGTATGGGACTTCACTTAGGATTAAAGGAAGGTCATATACCAGTGAGTTTGGTAATTCTGATCATGTATGTCCAAATCTCCTGAAGTATCAGACTTAAAATTGTTGGCTCATGTATGAATATGATTGAGTTCCAAAGTGGAAAATCATTGGAAAGAGCTGTTCCACATGGTGATTCTCACTATATAGAATTATTTTCCCTTATAATTTAAAATTTAGGCCAAACACATGTTGCCTGAGGGCCAGCTTAACTGTGTATACCAACTAGAGCTTATTTCAACCTTCTCCCTCTTCCTTCCATTTGCTTCCTACTTCTGAAGCAGTAGAGTCATGACTATTTTTGCATGAGTTCGTGGCAAAAGTGATGCCTGAAGCTTCTCATTGATTAAAAAAAAACAAACCTGAGATTGAGAGTTCATCCAGCAAATTCAATAAAGCTGGAAGAGGCTCAGCAGGTCAAAGGGAACAAAGTATCTGTTGCATAAATCTTGAATGAAACTAGACAGCTTCAACAACAGTATTTCAAGTTGTAACTTCAGGATTATCAACATTACAAAATAAGTCAGCAACAAACTTTTCTTCAGACAGGTAGGGGGAAGAGGGGTTCAATTCAATTAATAACTACTGCAAGGCTCTCAAAGAAATGTTATGGACATGCTCAAAACGTGCAGTTCACAAGATTTTCTCCATAACCTTCACAGTTCAAATATGCCACTTTGTTGCCTGTTAATCTTCAAATCCTTGAATCACAAGGCCATAGTTGAATCTGTAGTACAACTTGACAATGCTTTGCTAGCAGCAGAGTCCTACAATCTTCAGGAACCCAGACCAACTCTGTTTCAGTTTCATAACACAAGAACCCCAGAGCAAATAAAGCATTGACAAGCTGATTGAGTCACGGTAGTGGGATATCCTTGCACATAATGAAGATCTGAGCCCATGTTACTTTTTCCTATTTCCTAGCATGAAAGAACTGGTGGATCCAAATTTCATGATGTGAAAGAGACTAATAAAGCTATGTATAAGTCATGTGAGGGCTTCAAGAGAAACAGCCTGCAAAATGGTATTTTTGAACTGAGAAGACAAGAAGAAATATTTCCAGTGAACTGGAATGAAACTACACTCATTGCCAAAAAAAAAGTGCAACCATTAAGGAGTTGCATGATCTTGATGAAATTTGGTATATACGCTTATACTAGAGTGCCATGAAGTCAATTTAAGTTTCAAGGGGGTGGGATGAATATTCACAGGGGAAACTTGCTAAACACTCTAATTTCAATAGTAGTTATGAGGTTGTACTAATCACCAAAAAATAGTCTCCTACAAAGATTTTATTGATAAAACATGGTTGGAAAACTCCTAAAGATGTATAGAAAATTGCACAAAGTTTCCAGGTGATGGGGGAAGAGGATGACATCACTGATGATGCCAGATTCTTTCTCTGACCATTCTAAAACATCATAGCTGCAATTGAAATTAGAGTGTTTGACAGGTTTTCTCAGTGAATCCCACACTTTTGAAACTCTAACTGATATCATGGTACATTGGTATAAGCTTGTGTAACAAATTCAATTAAGATTGCTCAATTCCTCCTTGGTCATGTTTTATCTTTGGGCAATGAGTATAAATATGTATTTAAGGAAAAAGCAGTTGTATCTCAGATAATGAATATAACATACCTCTGAGAGCCTTGTGGAGGTTATTGATGGAATGCCCTTCATAGAATTCAGTCAATAACAGAAAAGGATGTTGCTTGTGGTGAAACATAGCCTTTCAAGTATAATATGAGCAACAGATGACAGGCAGATTGTTTTGTGCATAAAGGATTATCTCCAGGTCAGACCACAAAATAGCTTTAGGAATTCAGGCCTGAGGGCATTATAGTCAATCTTGCAGGGTTCCATAAAACTGATACAGGCCAGACTCCAGGATGCAAGCCATTATAACATAATCTCTAGATATTTTCTCATTAGGATGAGATTTCAAGAAAACCAAATTGGTGCACCATAAGCTCAGGCCTGCATAAGCTAAACATAGGCATAAGGTTTAACTTATGCTCTTCATATAAAAAAATTTAATTGGGACATCACAGTCCTAGAGAAGTAAATACATTTGCCTGCAGTAATAATGAATTTGAAATCAAATTCATGATTAATGCAGGGGTGGTGCTTGCTGGCCGACTGCCAACCCCTCCATTCTCATTTAAGATTATACAAATACACCAATACCCTGTTTTGCATCAGGGTTAGGTTACTGGAAAACACGACTCAAACTGAAACGACACAACTTTGAATCAGCTCAAATCAAATTGACACAAAACGGGGTATTGGTGTACTTCTAAAGTTCATGGTCAATAAGAGGACAGGACAGATGGGGCCTTAGCCTTGTCTAATCCATGAATTCAATTTGAAAAAAAAAAACCTTCCTGGAATGTAAATTAAGTACGTGGTGAAAAGCAATAATAAAAAAAAACCCTTTGCTTCTGCAGAAAAAAAAGATCAGAGATAGTGGCAACAAGACCTTTGTTGGATTGAATTTCTTGATGTCCAGCATCTTTTAAGTACTCCAATTCAACCATGCCTTTCTCTGGATCAAGGACTTTAACAGATCCTCTCCTGCTTCTCTGTGGCTCTATCACTCCTAGTGCTCCTCCAGCATTTTCCTTCCGTTTTCCTTTCCAATGAGTCTCCAGGTACATCTCATTTGGAGATGGAGGAGAAAAGGGCTTGTCGTCAATATCATACCTGCAATATGGAATGTTATCCAGTATCATGCTAGTATAAAATGAAGGGTGATATTGAATCTGAAATTTAACCAATTATAACAAAAGTAATAAAATAAATATTTCATCATACAGTTCTGCTTAAAAGTTTCAGTTTGGAAAATCTCACATTTGAGGTAATAGTTTCTCCCACAAATGTATCAATGGCAGCTTACCCTGCCAGTTTAATTGTAATTTTAAAAATACAGGTAACTCAATTTCATAATTTATTGCAACCATATTATCATGACCAGAACATGTGTGACAATGTTGCCTAAAAATGGATGGTGCCCCTCTTTAGCCTCCAAAAGGGAATTCACAAGTCTCAGCATATTGCAACCAATGACTGCAGTCAATTAGAATATATTATCCCAAAAATTACTAACAGCTCCAAGCAGCTCTTAATTGTTCCTACAGAATTTGTAGGTCACTCTTTCACTGACATCTAAAAAATCTCAATTGGATTCATGTATTTACCCTGGTTTGCCTGGGGTTGGACATCGATGACTACCTCCCAAAGTTTTGTCCTAGACCACCGGGTATTGTGCGCTGGAGCAAAAACATGTTTAACCCTTTTCATGGTAGCATCTCCATTTGGAGATACCATTTGAAATTTGTTCAAAATTTGTAGCAGCATGTGCAGCAAAGATTTGAGGGAAAACATAAGTCCAATTGAAACTATGAACTGTCATCCAGTCTGGGATATAGCAATGAGCCTAGGTTAATAAGTAATAGGTTAATAAGTAAGGGTTAATAAGTAACTTCAGCAACATTGATGAAAAGCNGTAAGGGTTAATAAGTAACTTCAGCAACATTGATGAAAAGCTTTTGCATGATGGGAAAGACATGATCCTCAATCAGTAGGAGTTATTGCAGCTTTCCCATCATCTTGAAAACAGACCAAGTCACTAATGCCTGGGTTGCTGATCATTCCCCACATTAATATCACCACTTCCTAAATTAAGAGTCCTCTTCCAACAGCATAAGTAGTATTCTCCCAATGGTCATCTCAAAACCAGTTGATGAAAAACTACGCAGAACTGGAACTTGTCACTGAAAGCAATTCTTCTTCACTGCCCCTCATGCCAGTCTGCATGTGTCACCATTGACTCCAGCCTATACTTTATGTTCATCACATTCAAGCATGGTCTCTGCATCTCATAAAGACTAGGTTCTTCAGACACCAGCCAATGAGTAAGCTAGTGTGGGCTTAGAGGCATATCAACTGAAATGAGGCACATTGACTAGGATGAAGTGCTGCACAGAAGAATTGCTTTCATTGATGAGCCACAGTTCTGCTTGGGAACTGGTTTTGAAATGAATTTCACAAATACCTGTATTTTTGGAAGAGAAATCTTAATTTAGGGGGATGGTGATATTAACATGCGGGAAACGATCAGCAATCGAGGCATCAGTATCTTGGTCTGGTAGGTAGAGGATGGAAAAACAGCAATATTACCTACTGATTGAGAACTGCATCTTTCACATCATGTAAAAACTCTTCCTTGATGCTGCTAAAGCCCAATTTTAACCCTTTCACTGTTTAAAAAATAATCCCTCACAACCTCCACGGTGTTATAAGAATTGTGTTACATCTCTGCAAAGAATGGTTTAAGTTTAAATTGTCTTATCTTGAAAACTATTGATGATAGACCAAAATGTGTTTAAAAATTTATTTCCAGGAACAGCCAGAGTGTTATCGGAAAAGTGCACGAATTTTGAGATGCGTATAAATCCATTGACAGACTTGATTTTACCAAAAGCTGAGATGATAAAAAGTTTATCAGTTTCCAGAGAGACTGAATAGAAGGCCATATTGTAATGCCCATTAAAATCAGTGCCAAAATAAATGTATGAAATTCCTATACAGAGAGGTTTCTCCTTTGTCTTACCCTTGAATATTCACTTTGAGCTTGTTAAAAATAAGGTCTGATGCAAATGTATACCTGAATGTTTCTGTTATTACATGTTCAAGGAGGTTTCCGTGAACACATATTGCTAGGAACATATAAATTGACCCGGGTCATCTGTGAAAATAAGTTCAGAATCGTCTATCTCAGGGAGATTGGAATATTCTATTTCAACCTAGGATTTCCTGTAAAAATCAAGAAATGAGTTGCATGGGGATTATCGCTAAACTCAGATATATCAGCAGTTTTTCGCCCCCTGGTCTACCTTAATTCCTGTTTGCATCTTCACTCTCATCATTGTAATCTTCATCTCAAGCTTCAGCTTCAACTTCCATTTCTACATCACCTTCGTTTTCACTATTAACACAGAAAATGCCACAATTAACATTTCAAATTATATTTATTTCATCATCACTTAACACCAAACTAAGTGCGTAGGAAGACATTTTTACAGAATGGATTAATAAAGATACGCAATTATTTTTTTTGTTATTCAATTCTTCCAAAAGTCATATACATTGAAAAGAAGTAGCCCTGTTATATAGAAAAGGATGTATTTTGTTTTAAATACAGAATATATGTTAGTTACATCTGTAAATAGAGGAAAAACAACCTAAAAGGACTGGGTTTCATAGCCCGAGTACATACTCGGACTACCACCATGAAAGTGTCGTGCGTAGCCCGAGTATGTACTCGGGCTAACAGTGAAAGGGTTAAGCATAATTTCACTCTGGCATACAATTCCAGGCAGTCCAGGATCAAATTGGAAGTAGTCATTGATGCCCAACCCTGGACAGAGCAGGATGGATATGCATCCAATCTGGATATTTGAGATGCCATTAGTGAATGACCTATAGTGACCTAGAAATGCTGTAGGAACAATAAAGAGCTGCTTGGAGTTGTTAGTGGTTTTTGGAATGATAGTCCAATTGAACTCCATCAGGATTGCATTCTACCTCCATTCCTATTCCTCGTGAGCATGGATAGGATCTGTAGGCATAGCTTGGACCAGCATCAGTGACATCAAGGAAAAGATACTTTTCCGTTGTCAATGACGCTGTCCTTTTGGCCCATTCTCAACAGGAACTTCAGGTCATGATCAATCAGTTCAACTTGAAACATACTCCAGCTAGAATAACAATGAGAGTCCCTCAAACACATAAGATGGTCCACCTTGCATGTTAGGGACCTGACTGGAACAGGTTAATGTATGTACATATGAATTCTAATAGACTGTTAGCAGTATGCTGAAACTTGTAAATTCCCAAAAGAGGGCACTATTCACTTTTAGGCTAGATTATCCTATGTTCTTTTGCAGTGATATGATAGCAGTAAATTAGGAAATCAAGCAGCTTAAATCATTTTACAATCAAACTAGGGGGGTAAAACCACCACTAATACTTCCATAAGATGAGTTATTTGCACAAATGTAAGATTTTCCAGGTATGTAAACAACATTTTCCCCAACCTGAAATAACAGAAAGAATACTAGAATAGTAGCTATGATGAATCCCAGCTAAAAAATTGTCATCTTTGTCATAGCATCACCTGATCTCTGAATTGAACTATATCATTCCCATGTATTGCAGAAGTTGAGAGTGAAACTTAAAAGGATGTGATTCATTTATGACATAAAGCTCTTCTAACCATAAATTTTCATGCAAAGATTTATAGTGTAATAGGAATGTCAAGTTTTTGATGAAAATGAAATTTCATGCCAATTTTAGATTAATTATTGCAATCGGTAACTTGCACTGTGGAATCACAACAAATGCTGGAACTCCTTGTTTGGTACAAAAGAAACTGATTCAACCATTTGGGTTTACAAATAAAAAAATCACCCTCTACTACAGGTTAAACAAAAAGACACAGGCAACTTTCCAATAAAATACCTTACGAATAAAAACACAAGGTCATTCACACATTGAATGCATATTCTTGTTGTAGCAGAGGTTTGCTTGGCAAAGGATGGCCTCAGCAAATTATTGACAAACTTGCTTTCCTGCATTTGATAGTAGAGTCTAAACCTGGTCCATAGCAATAAAATATGAAATCCTTCTGTGACAAACCTGTCAGGTGTTCTCTTCCTCCAAAAAGGAACATATGGTGTAGCATGGAGATTCTCAGAGTGATCATCAGGTGGAAGATCATGGCTTCCTTTCTTGGCAACTTCCATTTTCTTTATCAAAATTTATTCAAAAATCAATTCCACAACAATTCTGTTAAAATGAAGGCATGTGGTACAGCCTCTCCAAAAGATCTAACGATTAGGCTAACATGCCTACCTGCACAAAAAGAACCATTTCAATAAAGCGATAGGAAGAGGAAGATCAGTATATATTCAACCAAACATGAATATAAACTAGTGACAATATGTAAGGTAGGGAGGGGGAGATAACAGAAAAAAATCACTCCAATTCTACCTGTATCACTAAATATTCCAGGAGATGATGAGGGTGGGGATAAGGTGCCTCATAGACCTGTACAAAGAGCATTTGTGTTTTGTGTCCTCTAATGTACTTGTAAATCAATGATATGAAATTAGACATTGAAACACAGATTGCTATCCAGTGCACAATGGACAGCAAGCTAGTAATGGGTCAACACTAAAAAAATGCAGTATATTGGTAAATTTGGTATGAATCCATAATGGGACAAAAATAGGCTTACTACCCAACTAATATGGCCTATTAGGCATATGAATTCTTGAGTGAGTTCATACATTTTTTAATCCACCAGAGCTGGAAATATAAATGTGGGTGAGTATTTAAATGCAACACCAAGAAAGTATTTAAGATCGAAAATATGGACATTTTCAAATAAATTTGTTGCTCAAATATCACTAACTAAGAGATAATTTGGGGGATTAACGCATGCTTTTTTAAATAAATCAATTTATTTGCTCAAAGGGCATGGTCCATGGTGAAACATTCCAACTTTATTAGAAAAATAAGTGCATATGAAATTCACAATTCTCAGAAACTTTTAAACACTTCCAAACCTGTATATGGTGGATTAAATGACAAAAATAGTCTGTACCACATACTATTTCCTGTAAGAATCTATTTCTGGTGAATTAGACTTCCAATTTAGCTTATCTGAGTGACATCATTGATTGAGGTGGAATTCTATAGAGCAATATATATTGGCAGTGTCTATTGGCCAAGCTGGGAATAATGATTTCTAACATCACTACTAACAGGATACAGTTTCCTGCAGTCCACCAAACACAGGCATGTCTTGCAAGATAGAGGAAGCTTTGTTTGCCTTGTGGGAAGACTTTGAGCAATCTTTTTCACCTTGTCAGCACACAACTAGACAGCTCTTCATTATTGTATTATGTCATGGTTGTTTAATGGGTCTTATATCATGTCAGGTTAGGAAGTAGATGACATGCAACTTGACTAATTTAAGATGTCTCATGCTGGAATTTTGTTAGGGGTACGCACTTAACTGTTACCCTTCATAGCTACACCCCTGCGCCATTAGTACTGATTACGATCACTATATGCCTCTCGAGTATTGTTGGCTTCAGCATTAGATGAAGCGATGGGGAGGAGGGAAGGTCAATCTGAACACACTGCAGAAGCATTCACACCTTTCCGAATGCCAATAACTCATTCAATCAAACGGCTAAGGCTAAACGCCCACAGAAAATCATGAGCGCCATGCTGCTCAGTTGACCTCACAGAACTACAGGGTTGTGATTCTGTCGGAGTAGATTTTGAAGTTAGAAAATGAATTATGCGATCTGACATGCTTGTGTCCTTGATATATTATCTTAAGAGCCTCTTGAATATAGAAAGCTACCAGATGGGAGGTGGTTAGACCTGAATTTATTCCGTCACGAGACTATGCCGACATTCCTCCTCTCTCCGACATACAGCGTCCTCATGCGCAGTCACACGCATGCTCTGTCATATTTTGCACCAGGATGCTTTTCACGCCCCTTGAAGTGAGCTGTAGCTAGCTTCTCCTGCAGTCACACAAGAGCTTCCTTGGAGTAGTGTCGGTTACTCGGCTTCGTGAGCGTTCGGTGTTCCTCCCCCATGGCTCTGCTCATGTTAAACAATGTGATGTGTGAGCAGCAGGCTCTAGCCTTACAAACTTTGATTTCTCTCAGGTTATTCTTTTGACCTTAAGATATTCTTAAGTACAGGGTGTCCAGAAGTTGGACAGAGCAATTATACATTATTGAATCTGAAGGGACGAAGGGTCTGAGGGTTGTAATAGCAAATTGGAAGTATGACATTCTTGGATCTCTAAATGCCATCTACGAGCAAACTTTATGAACACCTTGTATGTCAAGGCTCTCAAGAGGATTTTCAGTGAATCCCTAGGCCTAACGTTAGATCCCAGTAAGACATCAAATCCTTTGAGGAGTACGCATTTATATCTATATGTGTGGTGAAATAAATAGCCCTCCCAGAGTGTGCATGTACATTTATGGTTTCAATTGTTGAGCTCACAGAGGTGAGCATGTATAGGTTTGCAAATATAACACCCTGATAAAAGCAAAATCCCCTCAGTAATTTAATTTTCCTCTGTCTTTGCTTCCTAACTCACTCCAGCAGGGTGATGTCTCTCCACCCCACTGCACTCCTCAAAGGTATTAACCCCTTAAGTCAAGTTCAGCATATAATCATCTAAATGGGAGTTCATTAATTCTCTTCAGAGTATTTCACTTCTTGGAGTCACAAAGCAGGTGTTCACCAGGTGTTGTAGACTTAATTATATCAGCCTTCCCCCAAGTAATTCCCTCATTTAGTGTCAGCCCCCTCTTGGAGGAATTAGGTGTAAATACCCATAAGGCATTTCCTATTTTCATGATGAGCCCCACTTCTCATTATAACCACTTGTCAACTTTCCTACTTTTACATGGGTAGGCTAATAATCTAATGTCTGAGTACCATTATGAATCCATAATGATTTTTCAAGAGCATTGTGCTTTGTTTTTTTTTTCTCCTTGTTCATGTGAGTGGGGCACATGACATGAGTTTGGAATTATGCTATGCTATCAATCAGGACTGGCCCTGATTGATATAGCATAATTCCAAACTCATGTCATTTTCTCTTCTTTAGTGGATGTCACATGCCTCTATATGGTAATTTGGGATTGTGTTTCAAAGCTAAGGATGACTCTTCGAGGAGATGAAAAAAAGAAAGGTGACAATTCTATTGAATGAGAATTCCTATTCTCTATTGAAAGAAAGGTGACAATTTAAGGCAGGAAAGCACCAGCTCTAACTCACTTGGAATAGGGGAGGTTCACATGGTCTAACAAGTGGCCTGGGGGGGATTTTTGTGTTGACAATGAAAAATTACCAGGGTCACTTGAAATGTAGACCCAGTAACACTGGTCATAGTATATATTGGGTCGATCGGAAAGTTCTGGCCGTTTCAAGAATTTTCCAGAAAAAAAATTTTCTGGAACCTTCTTGAACCTTCCACAGTAGCAGTATATAAAGGGTGGGTGGGCGTGATTATGCAGCAGTTGCTTAGTCGTTCAAAGCCTATAACCATGACTTCCAAAATCGACTCTAACAAGACCGCCCAGCGTCAGTGCCTTCTTTATGACTTCTTATCAGGCATCACAGCAGCTGAATCGAATCGCCGCGTTTGGCCAAGGTGCAGCTTATGAAAGGACAGCGCGACGATGATTCGATCGTTTCTGGTCTGGAAATTACAGCCTCGAGGATGAATTACAGCCTCGAGGATGAGCCCAGGTCAGGCCGCCCATCTGAAATCGACGACGAGCAGTTGCAGCACACAGTGGAAGCCGATCCGACGCAAAGTACCCGCGACTTAGCGACAGCACTTGGCTGCACCTTTCCACGATCGTGACGCACCTGGCTGCAATCGGCAAGAAGAGCAAGTTGGGTCAGTGGGTACCCCACGATCTGACCGAGCGCGACCGCGAATGCCGTGCTGAGGTGTGCACTTCGCTGCTGTCGTACGAGCGTACGAACGACTGGCTGGATTCCGTAGTCACTGGAGACGAATAGTGGATGCTGTACGTCAACTACCGACGCAGGCGCCAATGGGTCGATGCTGATGCCCAACCAGAGCCGGAGCCGAAAGGTGACCTGCACCCCCGAAAATTCATGTTGCGCATTTGGTGGGACGTGCAAGGCGTGATCTACTTGGAGCTGCTCCCACCCGATACCAGCATCACCGCCTCCTACTACTGCGATCGGCTGCAGAAGCTCGCCGACAAACTCCGCACGGTGAGGCCAGGGCACCGTCGTGTTCGATTCCTGCATGACAACGCAAGGCCGCACGTCGCGAAGATCACACGGCAGAAACTGCTGGATCTGGGCTGGGAAGTTCTGCCTCACCCTCCGTATAGCCCAGATCTGGCGCCAACCGACTACCATCTCTTACGCGGGCTGGACAATCATCTTCACCAGAAAAGGTTCAACGATGACGCCGAGGTCGAAAACTGGCAGACTGATTTTTTCGACTCACAGCCAGCTCGGTTCTACAGGGATGGAATCAGGAGTCAGCCTGATCGTTGGCAGAAGGTGATTCACTGTGATGGCGATTACTTCGTTGAATGAACTTTTTTGCTTTTTTTTTAAAACTTGGTTTTATAGAATGTTCTCGAAACTGCCAGAACTTTCCGATCGACCCAATATATATTCCCATATATTATGACCAAAATGATGATAAACATAAACAGTTTATGTTTATCATCATTTTGTACAGATAAACAGTACAGATAAACAGTTTATGCTGATAAACATAAACTTCATAGTTTGATTGCCATCAGACTAGGAAAGTTCCCAGAAACTTTGGTTTGAATGTCACTCATGAAGAACTACCCACTGCCTTAGTCAAGTTTTTAAATTTATTTTATGAAATTTATTTCATGAAAGAAGTATGATAGCTTGAAACAATTGCACTACCTTACTATACAATCATAATCAATTACTCTGAGAACTGTAGTTTACTGAAGTCCCTGAGTTTCTGCCACCACTTCAGGTCTTCCTGATGTGTGCTAAGGAGTTAAAATAGAATCCCTTTGTTGCTAAGTATGATTTTCATATTTACTTTATGTTCATGACATGATAATAATTTAAATGGCAATCATAATCTTGTTGTTCTATCATAATTAACCAATTAATTAGCAATTGTGATGAAATATTTTGGGGTCTATAATCATAAATTGAAATCAGAATCTAAGATTATCAGCAGAGTTACGTCATAATCATAATCTGTTGCACCTCTGCCTCATCTTACCCATCCCTGCTCATTACTCAGGAGTGCTACTGCAATTCTCCTTTGTGATG